TTTTTCTATGAGTATTCATCACGCAAGTTCTTCGAATATAAAATCTACAAAAATGATGCCGATGATGAACTTTATGCCAGAGGTCCCCAAAATATCGTGTCTGATAGCACGCTTGTTTGTGAGGTAGGTAGTTTTACATTATTTTATGAATTGTGTCGTAAACTACCTAGTTATTATTATTAATTATACCTAATTGTTGTTAATAATAAAAATGAGAAAGATGTTTACATCTTTGACGATGGCGACTTCAGCTGCTATTTTAAAAGATTTTATTTGACTTGCAATGTATGTAAGTATGTTTGTTTGGGTGGAATCTTTGAACTCAAGTTTGAAGCAGATATTTTCAACCGATTGAAGAGAAATTTTGTATAAATGTTTAGTTTGGATGACAATGTATGATAAGGTGTGTGACGTCATTCTAATCCAAGATGGCTGAATAGTTATATACACTTCTACGATATGAGTATCAAATTAAAGGGTTCGTTGAGAGAACTTGGAAAAAAGTGACGTCATTTTAAATTCAATACAGGATCGCGGAATAGTTAGTGAATAGCTTGTTGAGAGTTACTTGAAAAAGAATGTAAAGTTATTCTGAATCCGATTTAGTGGAATATCTAAAATGATGAGGATGGCGGAATAGTTTTTATTTATGTACTTCTGCAACTTGCCAAGAATAATTAAAAAAATATTGTGAAATTGGCGCACTATTGAAGTTTTTAATGTTTTAAAATAGAAAACGAAATTGACCGGTAAACGACCTTGCAACAATGATGGTTCGAATGGTTGGAATTTGGAATTGTTTCGATGGAAAAAGACCGAGGAACCTAGCCAGCGATAACTAAAAAGTAAAAAATATATTAAAAACAAAATAAATATTTTTAAAGAAAGCTTTTATTTAATTGTAATAAAATCTTCTTCGAACTCGACGTCGAGTCAGCACTGTCACAACAAAGGTTCAATGAAATAAACCTTTATTACCTTTTGAAGAAGCTTTTATTTGATTATATTAAATTAACCTACTTTTTCTTATTGTATAGTTATTTTTATGTTGTACTACTTTGTTTGATGAAACATAATCCAACCCAGGAGAGAACTTGATCACAAAGTGATTTAGATGTAAGCTCAAACGAAATTAATTATAAAGTTACATTATTTTAGCCTCGATCCAGGATAACAAACCTTTTATACTTTGCGTTTACCTATATAGAGAATATTAATTTAGTTCTTACAAAATAATGTTCCCCTAGACATTTTCACGATCAGATATCATAAATTGTGATCCGCACAAAATAATTGTGTTGATTTCAAGCCGAACCCATTAAATCTTTAGAATGTTAGGCTGTCGACGCTTCAAGGGCTAGATGTAGTGTTGAACAGTTTCTGCATGATCTTAGGCCCATCCCCCAAAAGAGGATGCATTTTAGGGGATTTAGTGGAAATGCCACCCGCGTTTTGTTAGAGAGTCCCACACATCCCCATGCCGCCTGACAAGCGTCAGGGACAATGCATAAAGCCTCTCCCCCCCCCCCTCCCAATGACACAAAAAATGACTATCGCGACGCTGAATCTGGTAATGTTTTTACTTAATTTAATAGTGGTAATATCACTATATTATCTATCTGGTGCCACATCTAACCTATCTATTAATATCAAATCATTAATACGTGAAGCATAACTTTGGACTTGTTTTTACGAAACTTGCACGGTCGGAGGAATATACAATTTGTCAGAATTGAAGTTTATATAGAGAAAAAGGTAAAACATACTTATTTACTTCTATTATAATAGAACTGTAGTAAGCAAATAGTAAGAATCACGTCATAAACGTGGTTTGGATGAAATGAACTAGTATGCAAATAATTCACGTTCGATAAATGTGCTTCATTAGCATTTACTTATCACGTACCCTAATATCCCTCTATTAGATTTGAGTAGTATATAAGACGAAGATTGTTTAATGAAATAGAGATCTACAACCTGGAAGTTAGTATCATTTCTCCCTACCGCGCTGACGTTATTTAATTAATTAAGAAATCATTACACACGCCAACTGGTCGTTTACCGAATACCATACAATCATAAATAAGTAAGTAGTGTTTGATTTTAAAACATAAGGTAATAATATTCTATGTGGATTTTAGACCACTGGACGAGCATTAGTAAGTACAATGGCGTCTTGATAAATGGTGTATATGTCGCAGTAAGATAGATAAAGCCGTAATATAGTTATATCCCGAGGGATATAATTATATACCGTAACATAGTTATACGGAAGCGATTCATTACTATCTCACTAGGAATTTAGTTATAAAGCGGTCCAAGTTTAGTGATATACTTATATTACTAGATTAAGTTCAGTGTTATAAATATATTACTTGATTAAGCTTAGTGAAATAGAAATCTTCCATATGTAATTAAATAAAACAATATTATATTGGTTTTATCCTTAATTAAAAATCAACTTTATGTATCCTGCAGTTAGTTACAATACTTTGTGACATTAACGTGTATTAAAGTAATTTCAATTATAATTAAAACGATCATAATACGAATTTAAACAACAATAACAATTCGATTAAAACTATGTAATCAAACATTAAATATTTTATAGCATAGAACAGGTTTGAGATATCTTTATTTCTTATCAAATAAGTTGAGATCTTGGTTTCTTTATCATCATCATCATCACCAGCCCTTTTACGTCCCCACTGCAGGGGCTCAGGCCTTCCTTATGTATGGTAAAGGAGGATGGGCTACGACCACGCTACGACCCTCCACGCTGCAAATGCAGCCGGGACCAACGGCTTAACGTGCCTTCCGAAGCACGGAGTAGCTCGAGATAATAATTTGTAACGACAACGATCGCGGGCCGGGGGCACTTATCCACTACGCAACCAAGACCATATTTCTCTCAGTGACAAGTTTTCATTTGGTATAGGATCATTCAAAGTAATGTTTAAAAGCTGTATTGCATTTCTGGGTAACCGATCTTTCAGGATACCAACTGATGTTCCAGTTTTATCACATTCATTTCGTTTTTCTAAAACTTTTCCTAATACATTTTATTGATCAAATAGTCCACGATCTATCTTTGGTATCTCTATAAGAACTGAAGATCCCACGTCAATGTCAGGAAATTTGTGTGATGAGTGGGTTTTCATTTTTTGTGCGGCTTTTCTTAAGTTTTCGGCAGCTATTTCACTAAACTAAATCTAGTAATATAAGTATATCACTAAACTTGGACCGCTTTATAACTATATTCCTAGTGAGATAGTAATGAATCGCTTCCGTATAACTATGTTACGTTATATAATTATATCCCTAGGGATATAACTATATTACGGCTTTATCTATCTTACTGCGACATATACATATTCGAAGATTAGTAGAATTAAGAGAATTAAGTAGAATTATGCTGATGCGCGAACACCGCAGTATTTGCATCCTTGAAGCTATACTTCAATGCCAACGTGGTTTATTTTTAAACGACGCCTTGATAATGCAATGCAGAGTTGCGGTACTATAAGACTATTACAGAAAAATAATATCGAATTATTACGTACATATTTGATATATTTTCAAATACTAAAAATGAGTCCTGATACAAACAACAACTTAAATAAATACACCTGATTCTCACAACTTTTGTGAACACCTTGCAAAACTGAAACTTCTTCATGTAAGATGAACAATCGTTAACTACGTAGGCCTTATATCCTTTAAGACACTCCCAAGCCATCTTTCATTACGTCTACTCTGTACCTGGATTTTAGTTTTCAGCAACAAACAGCAAGATTGTTTAAATGTACCTACTCTGGCCAACCTTTTTTGTTGACGTCACTGATCTTCCATGCTTTTAACATGAAACAAAAACAGGTAAGCGATCAAAAGGTCGCGTAAAGCAAATTAACATCCACATTAATTGGCCTTGAGAAAAAAAAAACCCTTTTTAAAGAAAATATCATACACTACTGATACGAATGAACATGAGTCCTGAATGCTTCTTCTGTTTCGCCAAAAACAAACTTAATTCTCTTTTACAAATGCTAATAAGACTCCAAAAAAATGCATTCTTTTATAATTAATGTTATCATATCCATAAAGATTGTCTTTACAGATATGATTTTAATAAAATTAAAATCGATCGATTCGACAATTTCTGAAATATCAGACACAAATATGAAAATATAGGTGACATAATAACAAAAAAAGAGGTTTTTGGATTTTGAATTCCATATGCTTCTTGCAGATTTATTATTACAGATTTACAGTTTATTTGGAACTAATTTTATAACACGTACGAAATCATCATTATTCGCCATCAAACATGGCGATTTATAGTTTTTTTTTAACTTACGTTTTTGTAAGAAAACTCATTCGTTTTTTAAAGATGTAAACAAATTAAAAGTCAATCTCATGAAATACCTCATCATACGTTTTCGTATAACAGCGAGTGACCACTCCCACGCAGTGTGTCCCGGTTCTGACCCAGATCTAATTTGAAACACGGTTGTCACTCGCCGCCCGGTACGATCAACAACAAAATAAACACACCGAGCACGCTAGTATTTCGTAACTATTTATTTTACGACTCACTAAACGTGAGCAGAAGAGATAGTTAATCATGTCTATAACAATCTCATCATCGTGATCATCATCAGCCCTTTTACGTCCCCACTGCAGGGGCTCAGGCCTTCCTTATGGATGGCTAAGTAGGATGGGCCATGACCCTCCACGCTGGCCCAATGCGGATTGGAGGGCATTGACGACTGCAAATGCAGCCGGGACCAACGGCTTAACGTGCCTTCCGAAGCACGGAGTAGCTCGAGTCAATTTTTTTGGTCACCCATCCCGTGACCGATCCTTGCGAAAATTGCTTAACGACAACGATCGCGGGCCGCGGCGCTTATCCTCTACGCCACCGAATTTTTTAATACATTTTTCATTAAAGAGATAAAATGTCCACTATAAACTTTCATAAATATTGTTTACTTCTTCAGGCTTTACCAAGTTCGCGTGGGGCTCCGAGTGTCCCCCAAGGTACCAGTCCACATCGAGGCTTCGGTATCCAGCGGAAATGGAGCCGCGAGGACCGGCCGGCCTGCAGCGAATGCCTCCCTTATCGGAGGCCTCGCGGCTTCCAGGGCGTTCCAGATCATGTATAGGAACGAGGAGGTCACGCTTAGGGATATCGTACATTTTAGAGCGCATCTGTTAGGTAAGCACATCTTTTGGTTTATATAAATGTGCTAAATGTATTCTATAATATAAGAAACAGATAAATTTTCTAACTTTGTTTATTTCATTCTAAGCATTAATCTTAAGAAATACCGATCATATCATAATGTTTTTTCATCTACGGGAAATTAAATCACTCGCGGTTGATATAGGCTATAATTTACGCTAGTGAAGTCGCGGGAAAACAGCTAGTATTGTATAAACTAATTCTGTTTATTGTTTGTTTGTTGAAGCCTCAAAAATAACACAATTTCTTTACAAACTAGGGGCCTTTAACTTTTCTACAAAATCAATATCTTAGTATCGATAATCACCTCAGATCATCCCAACAGATGACCTTTGTGACTAATTGATTAGCATATGCATCCCAAGATATTGTCATCTTGAGGTCCAGGTTTCAATACTGGCCTCTTCAGGAATTCCTTGCCAAATACCGGGGCCCGGACTACACAAGAGTGAAGAAAGTACTATTGACGTTGGCTTGAAAATTGTTGTTGATGAAATTTTCATATTCTTACCCGACTGCGCGATGCAAAGGAGGGTAATGTGTTTATCAGTCTATGTATGTATGTATGTTTGTGTCTATGTGGCGTTCTAGAGACCAAATGCGTAGGCCGATTTTGATGATTCTTACGTCAATCGATTCGTCTTAACCTTGCGAGTGTCACTAAAGACATGACAGTAATCACAATTCACCACAGCGACAACCAGACGCCATATTGTCAAAATGAAAAAAATAAAAATCGATGAACTATGTCAAGTAGGGTGTCGTTGAATGGGTATTTTAAAATCATCTTTAGGTTCCCTTTATCATTTTTCATTTTAAATAATAGTTTAGGATATATAACGATTTAAAGTTGTTTAACAAAACATTCTCGCTAATTTTCTTACTTATTGATTAAAGTTTTTATTCAAAGTATAAACGATATACAAACAAAAAAAAACAGTGAAAAAGCATGAAGAACAAATATTTTTGGTAAAAAAATAAAGCATATGTAGCTTTGAGCCGAGTTAGGTCTCTAGAGGGACTAATCATCAGTAGTTTAGACCACCGCAAGTTACTTAAGAATCCCCACGACATTAACAAACTCCCACAATGAAATAACTTGATTGCGAAATTTACCATCTTATAACAAAGTTAACGATTTGTAACTAAAAAGTATAAAATAAAAATAAATAATTTAAAGAAAAACAAAAATCCCGACTGCGTAAAAACGAATTTAAAAAAATACATGAAAGAATTAACTTAAATAAAAACCAATCAAATCTTCCCAAAGGGGCTCCGACTATGAGTCGTTCTGTTCTGTATTACTTAACAGAATTCTAAACTACTGGGCTTGTTTCTTTCTTTTTAGTTTTTATTTAAGTTAATTCTTTCATATTCCCATAACAAAAGAGCTTTAATATTTATAATTTTTTTTTTGCTTTTAGTCGACAGCCGCAACCTGAAAGAGTCATTAGAGCGTGCGGAGTGGAGTCTAGGCGTCGAACTGTGGTGCAGCGAAGGAGCACAATCCAATACACTGGCTCCTGTCTCCTGTCGGGTGCTAAAGCTGCACTTCCAGCCTTCCCACGGTCTTCATTACCATCTGCCAGTGCTGTTCGACTACTTCCATTTGTCGGCCGTCTCCATCACCATTCATGCGAGTCTCGTGGCTTTGCATCAACCTTATATCAAGTAAGTTTCACCTATAATTCATTAACTGTTTAAAATTCATTATTTGTTACATTAACTGTAAAAAAGTGAATTTTTATTAGTGCTTTTTAAAGTTCCACCAATAAATTTGAAAAATATTATACATTTTTCATTCTGTAGCCAGAAAATTTATACGTTTCATGTCTTTATCAAAAGGAAAAGTATCATGCACTATGTGCAAAGCTGGTAAGTTAAAAAATATATTCTAATGACAAAGCCCTTCTGAAATAGATTGCAAATAACAGACGTTTAATAAAGATTAAGAACATTCAACATTTGTAACGAAATAGTGAACCTCAAATTAACTATCATTTCGTTCACTATCACGCGTTTTCCCATACCTAGAAGAAATTGCATAAGCAGATTGATTCAATTCTAAATAAACATATCTTCTTTTATCCTTTTTTATCTTCTTTTTTTCTGCATTGCTTACTATCGGGTGATGTGTGGTCAAGTGCTTGCCTATGTAGCAGAAAAAAAAAATTGTAACCTGTTATATTACGCAAATGCCTAGAGTAAGGCTCCGCATAATGCAGGTCATAACTTAAGACATTGCATAATGTCGTTAGGTGGTTGGTTTCTAGTCACTTGTGAAATGCATTTCACCGTAGGCGCTTCCTAAATATTCGATTTCTAATAGAACTCGTGACAGATTCGGGCGACTCCTAAGTTTAGTCAAAACCGGCATAATACTACTCTTTCATACAAAACTCTTCTACGAGTCGTAAAGACATCGACTTTAATTTTCAGTGCACCTCGCTCGAGTAAGCAGTGGGGAAAGCTGATGAAGAGTGCCGGCGCAAATTTCAACACTTCGGGCAGCTTCGAGAACGTACTTTTTGGTTCTGCAGGCAAATGTACTGGTGGAAACTCTAGCAAAATCGCACATGCTAGGTAATTACTACCCCAATTTTGTCACATCAAAGATATTTAAAAAGTACCATAGATGTTAACGTCTTTGGTCACATGTAGTGCTACAGACTTAGGTATTTAAAACAAAATGAAATCAAAACTAACAAATTGAACAATCCTATATCGCTTCCGACAATGTTTAATTTAAAAAACGCGGAACAAGACGTTAACATTTCAAAGATTAGCAGTTTAGTTATAAAATTTATAAAATAATAATATACTAGCAAGCAGTCCAATATTACCTTATTCTCTGCTGCCGCTGTCCTAGAACCTTAAGCTTTTCTTTCATCCCTTAATACCTGTTTTATTGTTCCCTTTATCACCGCTATCCAGCATCTACCCAACCAGCTTGCAAGGATGGTATTGCTGCCACACTCTTTACTACAATACTTTAGTTGATTAAAGTAAATGGTTAAAGTTATTAAAAAAAAAAAGCTAAATTTTATTTTCCCAACCACTCCCCACTCAGTGCCTTTTTTTACTTATTCAATACAGCACTGCGATTCTGTAAAAATCCGAACCCGAATTCGAATTCACTCAGGGGCGCGACCGCCTAACTCATGCGTATATAGTCGTAGCTATAACCTAAGCTTTATAGGTGTTTCACTTGAATATATTGATATTGTTTTACCTTTCTTTCACCCTTAAACTAGCTTCTTTCACCCTTAAACAAGAGTAGAGTAACAGGTAGCAGCGAACACGGCTAGTGTTCGCTGCTTCCTGTTACTCTACTCTATCTCTTATTTATATTTAATCAAAATTTGTTTGAAATCATGTTGAATATGTGGCTAATTGTGATTACAGAAATTTTCCAAATTAGGCGTGATGTAAAGATTTTAACAGAAGCAGAATTTTAATAGTTTCACATTCACACGACACAATAGAAATAAATCTAATTAACCTTTAACGAGTAATTCATTTCCATTTCCAGGCAAGTTCACGCTGAAGTATGCGGGATTCTCCTAGGGTCACTGGAAGGGTTGCAGAGTGCACTAGCGATATGTGGCTCTGCTGGAGTACTACTCACTCCTGAGGAGTCTACCAACAACTCTGTCGTCGGAGAAGTAGCACAGAGGCTAAAAGATCTCAACGACATTAGCAAGGTGGCAAATACTACTTATTTTCTGTTAGAAACAGCCTGGAACATTTCACGTCATAGAGCTTGATTAAAATATTTATATTATCTTTTAAATTAGTTTTGTTTTTATTTTATTTTATGCCGTATGTAAATAAATAACTGTGTGGTCAATAAACTTTTCCCTTTTTCATTCTTTCTTTTAGGTAGGTTTTATTTATCTATAACGTTATCTATAACATAGCAGGGCTGAGTTCGACAAAACGTTCGAGGCTGTTTTCATAACAGAATAGCACGCAAATATGATATTTATAAACCGATAGACTACATAAAATTTTTGTATTCGTAAGAATCTTTAGGGGTATAAAAAAAAAAATTGGTGGAGAAAAATCGGTATTGATAAAAGATCACATTTACTTATGCACTAGCTATAACTGTGATTCATAAAAAATTAAGTAAAAGACGATATTTTAATATATTGTAAAATATAAAAAAATTAAGACCTATTATTTACTTAGTAATACTTACAGTCAGTTGCACAAATGTCCATTAACATTGTGATTACTTTAAGGTGACATTATCCATATAAATTTGACATTCATTAGAACTTAAAGGCGTCATACAACCTTAATCGACGTTTGTGCAACTGGCCCTTAGTTCCAAAAAGATATATATTAGGTAACAAAAATCGTCGGGGGCTGGGTGTGGATCACCCTCTGCTGGATCCCAGGTCCTTCCTCTAAAGCGCGAGTGCACGGAGGGCGTTTAGTGAGTACATCATCCAAGTTTTGACTAGGCTTCGGGTGGGTCCGAATGGATGGAAAGTCCAAAACACCCCCTGCCGCTTGATGTGAAATGTTGTTAATCCTCAGAAATCAGAATCCGGTGAAGAGGAAGAGTGGGCAATGGGTCTCGCTCACGACATCGCGCGACTCTGCGCAGAAGTAACACTGCGATGGCGCGCATTCCTACATCACACCTCCGATAGACCGCACGTCCATCACGCACTCGCCGCTAGACATCATGCCCTCCGGTAACTATTAAAGTCGAATTTGCATTTCAAATTTACGTGAAGCTGGAGAAGTTTCGTGCTCTCGCAAAACTACGAGTTCTTAGTTATAATTAATAGTAATTTTGAAATATAATAGAATAACAATTTATTTTTACAACACACACACATTGTATACAATTCACAGCACACGGTTCTCATCACAATTTATATGGCGAAGCAAGTGTTGTGACAACGTGTGCGCAAAATAAAACTGCACTGACAGAGCTACGAGTAGTATCTCTGATATACTGTTAGTTTTACGCCATTACAAAATAGTTTCACATGTATAAGAATAAGTTTTATGTAAATTTGGGTTACGGTTAATCAACTGTTGCATTATGGCCATTACGAGACCAGAACGTCGTTTAATTACTCACGTTTCTTCATTTTCTATCCCAATAGGATCAATAAAAAAAAATATATTTTCCTCAATGTCATAAGTCTGAGTGGTTGTTGTACCTGAGTTATTTCAGACTACAATAGCATAAAGGATGTACATAAATTTAGCTACTTCACTTGAGGTCTGAGTCATATGTATTATTCAATATATTGTGACAGGATTAGATGCAGATATTGATCAATAAATTATTAATAAGTTCTAGGTGCTGACTGTGTGTCGAAGTTTTAAAGGGATTGCTTTGAAGATCATTATGCATGTAGGCGCAAACCTCTTCATATTCAGGATGCGACGCCCGTGTATCTGATTTACTGATGATATGTCTGTTTTTTTCTAGCATTAAACGTTTCTCCGAATGCTTCTTCGTGCTGGACAATCCACGCCACTCGCTCGCCGGCTGCTATGATAGCAACTATCAGTCGTATCAGAGCGTCGGCGAAGCAGTACGCCGCTCACGATATCTCGCGCTACTACCTCCGCTGCCTGTACACTGTATCGCTCTAGATGGTGACCCACATATCATGCCCATCATCTTTGAAGACAGGTGATATATATATATAGTATATATATATATATATATATTGTATTTAATCCCAATTCGCTAATAAAACCCTTCAATATGTTTGACAATGAACACAATGTTGCAAATTTTCAATATCTGCAAGAAAATAACTAAGTACTTTATTACAGTAACGTAAACACAGTTTCCAAATTTAATATAAAAGTATATTTAAACTTAACTAAGTGCAAAAATATAGAATAAATGCATTTTAAATGGATATGAGAGCTTTTAAAGACTATGACCTTTTTCACGGTCACTTTAAGTCACATAATGTTATACATTTTAAAGTTCTATTTAACTGAGACAGCCCTTTATGAAACAAACTAGGGAGAAGAAAACAGTCTTTACTGAATTTCGTGCCACTTCATCCTGGTTCAAGTTTTTCCGCCGCCCGAAGATTTCCGAACCATGGCATAGTTTAAAAAATATTTGTACCAATACATTTCACTTTCAATTACCACAACCAGTGCCTAACTAATAATTACTTAATTTAAATTTAATTAATTTAAAAACTCAAGTTATATTAAAAAAAGAGTAATTTTTCAGATATCAAGATACGGCAGAGTTCGCACGGCGTCGTTCATTCTTAAATTCCAGCGCTAATAAATCTGGTAGCGGTACGTAATTCTTTTGTTTGTATCAAATTTGAATTTGTCTATGTTATCGAAATATATATACATCAATTTATGTCCTTTTCAGATCCATTTTTATGTACGGACGCAATGGGAGAAGATTGTGAGTGCAGTGTTATTTCAAATATGGATTCAAGGAGGCCATCATCCGAAGCTTCTAGAGTTACTCTTACGCTACCTAAAACGATTATTGATGTCCTTGAACCTCAATTCAATACGACTAAAAGTAGCAGTAATATTATGCAAGCAACGCTAACACTTGCACCACAAAAATCAGCTCGAAGCTCGCCAAAAAGAACCGTTGTGAAACAAAATGTTGAAGTATCCAAGGCTTACAACAAACAACTGGAATTAACAGGAACCAGATATATTGTGCAAAACAATCAAATTAGCGAAATCCAACTTCCACCTAACACATCATTTGCTTCATGTCCAATACAACAAGGACAGCAATTGTCTAGGTACTCCGCTTCTACTTTACTAGACATGAATGCGACAAAAAGCAGTTCCAACGTTACCCACTTTGCTAGGAACATAACTGATGTAAACGATTTTCGTCAAAGACATGAAATTACTAGCGGAGTAAGTACTTTACCAGCTAGACATAGCAAATCGCTGGACCAATTGAGAATGGCACAAATGACACCATTCAGTAATTCTCAAACTTTAACCAAAGCCATAAAAAATAGTTCGAATACTTCAGTTAATTATCCAAAACCTTATCAGCATCCGCTACAACAAATAAAACCTAGTACTCTGCCTCGGAGTGTAACTACTACAGCTTACCCAACGAACACAACAACTAGATGTGGTTCTAAAGGAGACGACTATAGAAGAAACATTAGTGAATTCAGAGAAAAATATAAAAACCCTTGTAATCTCGTTAACCCGCATGGAATGAACAATGAAGTATTTCATAACGTAGGATATAAGTATGATGGAGGGATGAAATCCAATCCTAATCAAGTGTACGGCTATACTTTCGGTAATCAGGGTACTCTGCCAGTGAATAATGTTATTCGTAATCCATTAGAATTTCAAAGAGGCTATAATGTAAATTTACCCCGTCCTATGTTGCCTCCACGTAACTCTTACCCACCAGTAAGTGGGAAAACTCAAGTGACTGATCAAAATAACTTAGTTTCTAATAAGCATGTTCATAGATCTAACTCTACACATGTATTTCATCAAAATATGGAAAACCAACAAATTGATATTGAAGCGGCACGTAACCAATTACGACATGAACTTAATTATTATCTTCAAAAAGGTGATTGGAGTTATGATTTTAATACTGGAAGTTTAATACAAAATTATCAGAAAAAATCAAGTAAGAGCAGTGATGACAGTGGCTTTGTTATGACATTAGATAGAAGCAGTGACTGTACTTCAAAATCAACATATTCCAAAACTCCTCCTTCAACACCACATTCCACAATGCCATCAGTACGCCACAAGAAAAGTCGCTCTAAAGAATCAAAATTAAATAACAGTGCTAAAGAAAATATGAAAGTAAATTCCAGTAGAGATTCACTTAGTAGTCATCATTCAATTAGATCACGAGACAGTAAATCAGATCGTCAAACTTCAAAGTCTGAAAGAAGTACCCCAAAATCTGAAAGAGGTACTCCAAGATCTGGGAAGGGTACACCAAAATCAGGTGGTATCACTCCAAGATCAGGATTGGCTACGCCAAAATCTGGAAAAACTACGCCTAAATCGGGCGCAGTAACACCAAAAAGTGGAAGATCCAGTGGAAGACCAGAAAAGCGATCAAAGCATAAAGCTTCGGAGAAAATGACTCAGCTAATGTCTGAAGCAGCATCATCATCTAGTAACGAAAGCATACCTTTTGAATTGCGTAGACTTGAATCATCTGCGAGTGTTCCATATAGTCTCGATCATGGTCCAGAATTATTGAGACATTGCCGAAGTGCTGCGTCAGTGTTAGATGAACCAAACATTAATAACACATTTGGTTCAGAATCATTACCAAATCTTGCACCACCTCCAGCATTCGAATCACCTCCTTTAGACATAGGAGATAAAGACTTTAAAATTTTACCTCCAGAAAATTTTTCAAATAAAAATGAAAAACGAAGTCAAAGTAGTTCTACATCAAGTCTCAGTGAACAGAGCGGATGGGTGTCAAGTGGAAGAAGTTCAGGCCCATCGTCGCCAGATAATGCCAGTAGTCAATTAAATCAAAATTTCACGCCGCCTCTCGTAACACCCTCTACTTCCAAAGCCACGCCCCAAAAATATGAAGAAGAAGCTAAACCAAAGAAGATTGATGGAGAAACTATAAGTGACTTTAAAAGAACTGTTTTAAATGGCGAACAGTTACGAGAACGTTTATTGAAATTAGCCGTTAAAGTGGCCCAGAATAACACGAATGAAAAAATTGAATGCTGTGATAAAGATGTTTGCGAAGAATGCACCATATGTAGCGATTCCATTTGTACAGATAGCCAATGTGAATATAATAAATTAATGCACAGTAACGGTATAGATGCAGGATGTAACTCAGACACATGTACCGCAAGTTGCTTCCAACAATTTTCTGATGTTGCTTCAGTAAAAGCCAATCAACGACATAATTCCTTTAGTGCTGGTCAGGGTAGATCATATAATGCAAACTCTAAAGCAACTAATGAAGGATCTGTGAAAAAGTCTCAGACTGTCGGTGATAACTTACATCCTTATATTCGAAAGGAAATTCCTCCTAAATCTCAGCCAGTAGCTGCATCTACACAATCAAGTTCAATGGACAAAACTAAATTAAAGGATAGAATAGAATATACTGAAAAATTAATTGCTGCTGAAATACGAAGTCTTACAGTTGATAGATCATGCAAATCTCATAATGGTAAAAAGATTCCATCGGGCCCTGTCTCAGCAGTTCAGAAATATCATAACAAAGCGAGATCTGAAGTTGATCTGGCCCATTTTATAGGTGACAATGACTATGAGCATTTACCTCCACCTCAACAATTTAGAGATGCACCACCGCCTCCTGATGAATTTAAGGTATTATTTGTTCTTGTTTTACAATAGGATAGTGAAAAATAAAACACGAAATTACACTGAAACTAAAATTGACATTGATATAAATATAGATATGTATTTTTTTAACAGTTATAAAATCGCATATTTATCTTATCAAGTTAAAATTAACATTCGTATCTATAGTCGAGTAAAATTTATTACCTGAATATAAGCAATAACTTAAGCAAATATTTTTTCAGGGCTTTTAATTCCAGCTCAGCCTAATAAATTGGGCTTCAAAGAATTTTCGCCGAAAATTCTTTGGCCGATTATCACTTACCAACCACCGTTTCGACTATGTTTCACTTTGACAACTAATAAACAATTTTTTTAATTTTAATTTGACAATTTTAGAAAATTTTTGTTTATCATCGTTTCATTTGGTAGAATCATTGTTAAGCTTTAAGTCATAAACAGCTATTTACTAGAAATCAGATTCCACAGGGAGAGTTATTTTTTGTACAATGTCGTTAAATAACACTGTTATTTTAAGATTATCATGTTTTATCTATCAAATAATATACTCTGTTTTGTGTACATATCGAAATGACGTCATGAGTATGGCGGACATCTATTTCGGAGGTATAAAAAAGGTTAAATTTTGATTTAATGTTAAAGCAAGAAAACGTGTTAGTCATGCCAAAAAAAATTGTGGCACTTTTAAATTGAAATAAACTGTTACAAAAACTCTTTCAAGCAAAGTAGAATACCACCATTAAAAGCCACCGTTAAAGAAAAATATTTTATAATTTTAGGATCCCCCTACAAAATCGCCGAAACTGAGTAGACAGAGCAGCAAATCGTCTACGCCATCAAAAACACCACGAAAGCAATCGGCGCAACCCTCACCATTGCAATTAGATAATCCATTATACCATGTTTGTGAAGGTAATTTCACATAATATATTTATTTCGCTCTTCATTTAGTTGAAAATTAAAATGCGTTACTAATTCCAAATCAATGACCATCCTTGTCTAAGATTAAGGATAAAAGCATTTTCAGGGTAAACAAACCACTATCCGGCTTTTTAGATTTAATGAATAATAAGCAAAATTTTAGTTAATTACTAACAAAGCTAAAATTTGTTTTGCTAAAAATTTAATGTTTTTTTATATTTTATTTGCTTCTGCAATTAACAATTCACTTGCTACTGCTTTACGTCAGGAATCATGGAGAGGAGAAAACTACGCCCACATCAATCGATGAATTCGTCATCAAGCACTCCTTCTGGTACCTTGAACAAAAGCCAAAGTACCGGTGAACTGGCTAATAGAAATGAAAACGGTAAGATTACCTTTAATCTTAAGTAATCGGAAATAAAAAAAAACCCTTGCATTTGTTTTTAATGAATTAATAAGCACAATATAGTACTCGAAACTGCAAGGGCTTGAATTTTTTGGAAATTACAGTCAGTGGATACGTGACCAAAATCATAGATATTGGTAGCAATCCGTTGTACAAACTAGACTTATTAATTTCCTGTCAAACTGTATTTTCCATTATTAAATTAATTTTGTCCGTCAGCTAGATTGAAAATACCAAACATATATTTTGTTTATTTTTTTTTCGTACTCAAATAATTACGGTGTTACATTGAGTTGACATGTCATATGACGTCACAGCAGTGTAGATTTTCTATATGTATATATATATTTATATATGTATTATGACGTAGTGTGTCAACTTTAATACTTATTATCAAGTCATTTGTTAACTTGAATAAAAAAACATTACTTATAATTTTTCTATTATCTAACTGGTGGACTAATTTTTTTCCCCTAGGCATCAACTCTATTGTATTTAGGTAATTACTTATGAAAAATATTATTTTACAGATTCACATGAAAGTGATCTTATCAGCATCTTCGGCCTAGCTGAATCTGAACGACTCTTTGTGAAATGCAGAGAGGAATTCAGACAGAGTGTGAAGTATCCAGGGGCAATATATTCAGACTTTCCACCGGTAGAAAATTCCTTGCCTTATTTCCACATTAGCGATGAATATAGAATGTTCAACCCTGAAGGTAAGGTCAAGCATTGCACCCCGAACTCAACTCTTTTCCTATATCCATGTGGAATCACATGGATATAGGAAGAGTTGAGACTCCTTTCCTAAACCCAATGGCCCTATGCCAAACCCCCTTGAAATAATCTCAAGCTTAAAAAACCCTTACAGTGTTATTGATAAACATGAATTTACTCCAACGCTAAATGTTGGAGTAAATTCACACTGAGAATGCACTTAGCATTAGTCAAAATTCAGATTATTTAACAGAGACTTAGCAGAGGTTAACCTAGTACGAGGTTCTACGGGAGTAATATTTACACCTAGAGGGTAAAAGGTTTGCTTGTTCTCTGTATAATATGCATTTGGACTAATACTAAAATTGCAATTTTAGCGTAATTTATTCCGACGCTAAACCTTGTTTATTAATAGCAGTTAGGGTAAAGGAAATAATAAAAGATGTTGCAATTATTTTTTTATTGAAAAAAAACGCATCAGTCTTTTGCGTTGTGTTTAGGTTTGCTGGCTTGTTATTAGTTTCTTGAACATTTTTAATAGTCACATTAATATTAATAACCAATCCGATACAACTCTGTAAGATTACTGTACTTAAACAATCTTTTTAATCTTAAATAGTAAAATCATCAAGACATCAGCAAAATTATTAAGTGCTTAGTCATAAATATAATTAGTAATATTTATTCACGTTTATTATTTTTAATTTTAAGTTTTATCTTTGAATCTTTCAGGTTTACATCTGATCATTTGCGTACACGGCTTAGATGGTAATGCAGCGGATCTACGATTAGTTAAAACTTATCTGGAGCTAGGTCTACCTGGAGCCAGATTAGATTTCCTCATGTCTGAAAGGAATCAGGGAGATACCTTCTCAGATTTCGACACTATGACTGATAGGTAAAGTATCTATTTCTTTATTGCCTCGTGTGTTCATAAGTTTTGAGATGAAATAATTGGTGGGTTTTTGCCTCATGGGATGACGTCGAGTCTTGCTGAAAAGCCCCATTCTTACTGTGAAATAACGTATCAGACAACGTTCGCGTCGTAACTTACAAAGACGATCGTTTGAAAAGTGAACTTTTCTACGACTATAGGCGTTTACCTTACGATCATATTTCAGTATTCTGTTCACTGAAACGTGCGAAATATTAGTCTGCAGAGCGAGTTTCTTCTGAGTTTGATATGGATTTCGGCGAAGTCGCTCTCGGATGATTTTGATGTTCGTAGGCCTCATCACAAAGCGTGACCGACCACTCCTTTGGCGATCTTGCAGAGAACTTATGTCTTTGTACCGCTGTATTGTGTAATAGACGAAGTAACGGCTTACAGGAAATTTTCGTTCTTTTTGTTGAATCGTTTTTTTTTCCGCCCTAAATAGCGAAATGACAGTTGCATCTCTCTCTATGTTCTGTGGTTGCACGTGATTGTTTCGTTCCCTCCATCACGAAAAAATATAAACAAATGAATTTGCTATACAAATTAACTAAAGGTTAACATTCCAAATTCAAAATCGGTAAAAAAATAAATAACAGCCACTAACATTTTATTTAATTTTTTCAGTTAAAAGTTTGTTTCAAAAGTTATGAACATACGAGGTATAATATTGAATCAATTTCTAAAATACATTTGAATATGCAACATAAATACATGCTTAAGTGTATTTCTCGCCACTTCTTATTAGTGTAGTTAAATGTGTTTTTTGAATGGGAGACTCCTTAAATATTTATTTTATCTGTGATAATTTCAACTTATTATTATCATGGTTCATGAAGTACAGCCTGGTGACAGACAGAGAGATAGGCGCACGGACAGAGGAGTCTTAGTAATAGGGTCCCGCTTTTTATACCCTTAGGTGTGAAACCCAAAAACCGAATATGGTCCAATATTAACTTTCGCGTACTGACTACAAAATTTTCCTGTATAAATAAATCTCTTTGTTTCAGGCTTGTTCAAGAAATTTTGAACCACATACAAAATTCAAGCGATCCAGCTAGAATCAGTTTCGTAGGACATTCGTTGGGCACAATCATTATTAGGACGGCATTAGCAAGAAAGGAGATGAAGCCGTTCTTAGGCAAACTGCACACGTTCCTATCACTAAGCGGTCCCCATTTGGGAACACTTTATAACTCGAGTGGCTTGGTGAACGCTGGTAAGTGTATTTTTTTATTATTTATCTGTCATTACCAACTCATTTTTATGAGAAAATCACATAAACCATATAATTTTCTCATTCATCAATTACATCCCAACAAACTTCGGATAAAATAAATGAAGAATAAAATTACTGCATAAAAGTAATGTTTTTTTCTTAATCCGTGACTTTTGTATGATATAGCTTTCCATGAATTGATTAACAATCAAATCACAATGCAAACAATAAAATACTGTTATTTTCAGACCATTGCCCTTTAGTGTAAAAAAAATCTGTCCTCAGTCCTCAAAATAACTCGCATATACGTATAACAATCTTTCCCAAAAAAATAAATTTTAAAAAACTTAAAAAAAAGATTTTTTTCTATCCAGGCTTATTAAATTCACGATTTGATTGCATTAAAACCCTAAGGAATATAAAATTATTTTCTTAATTTAATTACAGCTCATTTTGACGTTGCTTCTTTGTGCAAATCTAATTAATAGTTATTCTTTTTTTTACGTACCCTCTTGAACATGTTGCGCTACTGTTAGTAGCCTTTACTGATTTCTATCAATCGTAGCCTAAAGAAAATGTTTTATTCTTTCCGATTCCAGGCATGTGGTTTATGCAGAAATGGAAGAAATCCGGTTCCCTGCTCCAGTTATCATTGAGAGATGCATCGGATCCGCGTCGCTCGTTCCTATACCGTCTGAGCGAGAGGAGTCAACTGCATCAGTTTAAGCACATCCTCCTATGTGGATCGGGACAGGACAGATATGTGCCTCTACACTCCGCTCGGCTAGAGTTGTGCAAAGCAGCTGCGAAGGATACTTCGTTACTAGGACAAGCTTATAGAGAAATGGTAAGTTGAAGAAGAAAAGAAGGTAAGTTGAAATTCTAGTCCGATGGGAGGCAAATTAGTGTCTTCTAGTCCGACTTTTATTGTCCGGTCTAGTACGATTTGGTGTTAAATAGAAGATAATTGGTAGTTATACAAAATCCAGGAGTAAACGGGCAGTTAGGCACTCAAGGATGACGACAGAAGATTAATCGTCACCATTGCACGCGAAGTCTAAAACATTTTGAGCGACATCCCTTTATTATGTATTTTTGATAGCCTTTTATCCCCTCTCCCTTTATCATAGAAAAGTATTTGTATATTATATACATAAAATATATGATGTCCTTTTTCAAGGGTTGATAATATACCTACTTTAAAAATAAAAATGTCTTTTAATGCAATAAAAGTAACTTTTAATGTAAACCCGTCTTAATACTCTTTTAATGTTATAGGTACACAATATGGTATCGCCATTAGCAGCGCGCGCCTCCACAGTATCAGTGGTACGTTACGACGTGCAGCACGCGCTACCGCACACCGCCAGCGCACTGGTTGGACGCGCCGCGCATATAGCAGCACTAGATTCCGATCTTTTCATTGAGAAATTTTTGTTAGTATCAGCACTAAAATATTTTCGATAAGCAACAATTACAATATTGTGGCTTTTCCGCGTATTTTTTTATATATACAGGAAAAATTGTAGTTAATGTACAAATTTTAATTTTGTATTCATTATGATAAATCTTTCTCAAGTCTTTCTCTTTTTTTAAATTGCTGACACTGGATATTAAAAATTAATAACATGTCATTATATATACATTGCTACACAACCACGATATAGCTTTTGTCAATATACCTGCAGTTGAAAATGTTAATTAATTAAATTAAATTCTTAATTTTCATATTTAAATAATAGGGGTTAAAGTATGAAATTGCCGATTTGTACTGAAAATCAAAATTGTTTATTTTTTAATTTTACCATTATTATCTAAACATTGCTGGCATCTTATAGGGAGGTCATTTATGCCTTTATATAGAACTCTGAGGATCTAGTCTGCACAAATTGTATGAAAGCATTTTGTACAGCTGGGAAGAAAACTTTTTGTCACAAAAAAAATGGAGCAAGCAGCATATACAAACCGCGGCACATAAATTGAACTATGCACAGTAGCACATTTTCGGATCTCAATAGGGTCATTGACAGTGGTCAATATACTTATATTAAATTAAAGATTTTCTTTATTTATTAGGTTGGTTCTTACTCCTGATTAAGTACTTTTATCAGTTATGTTCAGATTACATTTATTTTTGCAAGAACTAATCGTTATTTTTAAATATCGTGCCTTGTGATTTCAGCAAAGAATCTAACCCATGTGACGTCATCAGCGTCATTGTCAAAACTCGTGAATCTACAACAATGAATTGTGAAATTATTAACGTCTAAAAGGTAGTAAATTAGGTTCATAAAACGTGTTTATTAATTAATCAATCACACAATCGCTATATTGCTGTTAAAATAAGTAGACAAGGGAACGATGTCATGTTAAGGGTCCTCCAAAATAAAAGTCGATTTGGCGCCGAAATCAAAATAAAATTTTTTAAATAACAAAGTTTTGGTTTTAAATTGTGTAATTAACCTATATTTAAAATATTTTTGAAAAATAAGCAAAGGAAATCGCCATTTTGGTTTTACTTACGTGCCAGGAATCATATCAGACGATCGTCTATAATTTATTAACTTTTGACTAATCCAATTCATAGGAACACTTTTGTATACGCTCCTGGGAAAAAATCGCTTACATAACTAGCAATATTTTACCGCTTTTAGCGCATTTCAAGGAGACAATGATTTAAAAATCATTTTAATTGCTATTTACTGCATTTAAAATATATGACAAAATAAATATGTAAAGTCTGTCTCACGAAAGAAGTCCCGCGGCATAATTCACATTCCTTTGTTATAAAATAGAAAACATTGTGAGTGATCCAACCGACAGACTGTAATGTGGTAGTATTTAAAAGACATTAGTTCCCGAAATCAAACTAGATGTCGCTACGGTAATTTCTTGAATTCTCCATGACAACCCTTGCGGTTTTCTTTATGTATAAAGTAAATTAATTTTCAAAACTCAATAAACAACTCATATTCTATTTGAAATTATTCGTATTTGTATTGATATCTAAGTTTCGAACTTTGCAATTTTTTTAAATGTAACTCTTAAAATGAAAATTTAAAAGGAACAGAAATGACTATTTTTGGTCCATTCGTTTTCTCTACCAAATCAACTTCTTGTAGAGTCGCCGTCTACTTAGTGGGGTGCTTTTTAGTGCTTTCTTTTTTTCATAAAATACTTCTTCATTTGCATTGCACTTAAAGTCTTGTTCCGTGTCATAATAACTAATAGGTATGATATGTTGTATCGTTTTCGAACTCACCAATACAACTTATTTCTATGCGTATTAAATAAAAGTAATCTGAAATTTGAATACCTATTTGAGATGAATGTGTTGCACAAATCAAATAACTTTATGGATAAGGCACATGCTGTTAATTATGCATTTAAATTTGTTTAAAAATAAATATATTAAAAATACAGAAGGAAAACAAACCCTTTTCTAGGTATATTATAACATACATAGTTAAACCCGAAATTTACAACAGTGTTGTCATGACAATAGTTTATTATCGATAATTGACCTAAAAAAAATTACACTATCGACTACTATCGATTTTCTCAGTACTCGATATTATTGCAGTACAATAATATGCGATAAAAGCAATGTTAAGAATATATAAAAGCGTAATACGGTAATTATTTGGAAGCACAAAATTAAAATCAATTAAATTATGAAATGATTGACTAGCTATAGGGAAAACTGTTTACTAGTATCGATAACAATGACGTTCGGTTATTCAAATTATTTTCAAGACCTTAATCATAACGACACTGTTGAGCAATATTGTTCTAATAGGTTATATAACCTGCCCAATAAAACTTTTACATTTATACCAATTCTAATTTTAAACTGTCTACGACTTCGTTTTTCTCTGCGGATAATTGTTCAATGTGTGATATATAAAATATTTAGTGTCCTACAATGTAGTGATAATGAACAGTGTTGCATAAAATGAACAATTTTAGTTAAGAATTAGACTTAAGACGGATCTTTACACCAATTAATTAGGACCTATTTAATTAGCATCAATAGGTTAATGTATAGTTAGATGATAATTTGTGTTTTATGTTAAAAATCTGTCACGTTTATGATTACAATTATTGTAACCGCAAACTATTACAATTATTGTAGTGTGGCATATAACTCTCGACTATAAAGTAAGTCATATATTTAACAACTTTTCCTATAAAAGTCTTAATTATGAGAAATCGAGAAAAAATCTCTTTTTGCTATCGAGATAATAATCTAGTATCTGTATTGCGTAGTAGGGAGAACAGTTATGTTATATTCGGGGAGTGGATTTATGTACCATGCAGGCATTACTAAAAAGTAATATTTATGCAGTTTGTTTACTGTAAATATTTTCAATATCTATGTAAAATAAACGTGTTACAATTAACACCATGTTAATTATTGATAATTGAAAAATTGTAATGGTTTGTGGTATTGCTAATAATAAAAAATATACAATTTATTTTTAAATAGTTGAAAAAAGAAATGTAATAATATTATAACAAAAAAAAATCTAATGAAGGTGTTATTTTAATTTACCAAAATACTTATCAAACTTGTTGAAACAAACTAGGCACGTTATTAGGAGCGCCACATTGGAAGGAGGTACGATGTTAAAAAAACACTTGATTAGGGTCTGATTCTTAGCAATAATACCAAAACAACAATTTAATTGGGTCTGGCATATATAATGCAAACAAGTTCAGAATGTAACAAAAATGAGAAGTCTACAAAGCATTTGCCTATCGACTATTAATCCGCCGCAGTATTATCTACAATACTAACGCAGATTCATATTCACGTCGTTATAAATTTAGCCATTTAGGTACTTTTATCAAACTGTTGTCATATTTTCAATAATAAATAAATATTACTTTATTATATTCCATACTTACCTGCATAACCCGTAATATAAGAAAAAGATACTTAGACGTAATTATAAAACTGCACAAAGGAATCTATTATAATAACATCAAAAAACCTGAATTAATGAAATAATTTCTTTAAATTATATTTTTTCCAATCGAAATACATTTGCATCTGCCTAATTTCGCTTGCATGATAGGTATAAAATATTGTGCATAATTTATATTCTACAAAGTAAAGCGAAGAAATAAAATAAGGGCCTGTATAATTATTTGGCCATAGCCTTACGACTATAAACATTAGGAACTAAAATAATGTAAATTTTATCGAATGTTAGACTGATCTTTAAATTATACGATCACTAAGATTATTTATAAGTTTCATAGAGTTATCTTTTCTCAGGTTAGAGAAACTTATACTAACATGCAGTCCTCGAATTTTGTTCTCAATTTCTCTATTGTAATAAATAAGGATGGTAAGTACACATAGATAAAGTTTTATACAGGGGCTTAAAAAAATCAGTGACATAATAAGAGGCTTGTACGACTCCAAAAAAACGGTAATCAGCATTAAGCATATTAAATTCTATTAATAAACGTAACTAAAGATTTTTAATCTAAAGACTAGATAGCCTTAATTTCGGAAGTGTTTAAGTAAATTGAACTTACACTTGCTAATATTATGGATGCCTGACGAGTCTAGTAAAGAGGGTACCTTATTCCCACATAGTCAAAGGCAATCAAAAGAAAAGGAATATTGAATTAAAGTAGGTGCGTATCAAAGTGACAGGAATAAATTTGTAAATATGTATTAGAGATGGAGTTTTATTTGTAAATCGTATGTTTAATGGCAATGTGTCGATGTTATACACTTATTATAAGAAATAAATAAAGCCTGAAATATTGTTTTTTATTAATAAATACTTAAATATTGAAACCAAACATTTGAAACTTTTTCAATACTACCAAATCCTTCTTCATGGTTTCAAAGTTGAAAAATTATGATTTTTCTCCATAATGAAGATTTATGGAAAGAATTGATTTATATTACAGCCAACATAATTTTACTACATTAATTCAAAAGGAAATACATTTATATCAGCTTAGTAAGCGTCAGTTCACATGAGATATAGTGAAAATAGTATGGTCATCTCTATTTATATATTATATTATAGCGAGCATCCCTATCTATGAGCTATGTATCACTTTGTTTGTCTTTAGATCTGTCCCTTTAATCTACAGCGAGTTTGGTAATACCTGTATAAACCCGAATATGGCACATACGGTATGATGAATAGAACCCAGAAAAATGATCACTAAGTCTGAAACCCAGCACATGACCCAGATATTTAACTTTTTTCTTCGAAGTAAAACTGTACGCTGACAGCCCTAAAAACAGATGTTGTGTTGTATTTGGTCATCGACTCCATGTGCTGAACTAGTTTAAAAAATAACAGAAGTGAAATAAATCTAAAGATAAATGCCTAGAATAAATATTGCATCCGAGAGTAATTTATTATTTCAAAAACAAAGAAAAAGTTAGTTGTAAACATAAAAGTACACCAATCATGTGATTAACGGTGTTTCAAAAACTATTATTAAGAAAACTTCTCTAATAATACAGTCAAAATAAAAAAGAAATTGCAAATACTTTGATTGAAGTTAGATATCTGCACTATTGCTCACATTAGTCTATGCAAGAAGGAGCGACAGAGACATAAAATCGACGACGATATGTATTGAGAAACTCAGGTTTCTGATGTGTCAGTAAGGTTCTGTAGATTAATTGCTTTGAAGTTTTGTTATTTTTTTTTTTCATAAAGCAGTGTTATTTTCACGAAACAATAAAATACGGACTTATACAATGATATTAATAATTTAAATATCTCGCTTATTCTTAGTTTAAATGATAATTAAATAAAGGTTAGTTATAATTGAAAGGTCTAATAATAATAAATAATATTTCTTTTCTTTTCTAATTTAATCAATAATTTTTATGACTTATAATTTTGTTAATGACTTGGTCCTAAATTTGGTAACCACTTTTAATATTATGGCCTTTTTTTCTTTTGTAACCGTGAAAAGCGTAAATAAAATTGTAATAATAAGTAAACAGCCTAATTATCAATTTCGTCAGTAAAAATAATAGTATAATAAGTTACATTGAAATTTCATTGTATAATTAATAATAAAATAACGATTTTTTGTTAGGTAGGTTACCCAACACAGAATTTGATGACGCGGAACCCTAAATCAGTGCACTTTTGATTTAGGTACCTACATTGGTGTTCGGGTTGCAATAATTACCTATGTAGTTTTGGTCATCGCTTCAGTCGCGTCCGAAACTATCATCGGTGTACTTGTAAGTTTTTAGAATTTAGGTCAACTTAAGTTTTCGTTCTTTCGGGAATTTTGGTTTGTTTTCATACTCGTTCTGTTTACCTGTGTGTTGTGTTTGTGTGCAGTCAGTGCAATGAGTTCGTACTCAAATGCCTAATATTACGAGATGATATTGTGTGTTGGTGCTTGTGACGGTAATCTTGCTGCGTCTCGGCGGCTTTATGACGAGCGCCACGTGTCAGGAAGATCTGAAAACCCTCGGCGTCTTCCTTCTTACCGGTGCTTCGCGGCACTTGTGAATCGGTTACATACAACTGGTTCATTCCATAGTGTGATACAGGAAGGCCGGCCGAACACCTATTCCATCGATACAGACGATATGATTTTACTTCGAGAGTAACACGGTCTGTGTGGAATCGAATGGAGATGTGAGTTTTATGCGGTGGCCGGCATATCGAGACCTTGGACTGGTAAAGTAGAGTTGAAGTGTAGTTAATGTTGACAAGTGAGAGCTGAAAGAGTGATTAGAATGCTGCCTCTAGGTATGTACCTGTTTAATCTTAAATTGTTTTAATTACAAGTAAACTCATACGCAGTTGAGTAGAACTCTGTGGGTAAGCGGCCTACAAATAAGTGATTCTGACACATTAGAATTGTCCACTTTCTAGGGTGATTACGACTTTAAGCTGTCAGTTGAGTAACGAATAGACCTGCAGGCTGTCGCCATTTTAAGTGGTACAAGATATGTTCAACATAGTTAAGGTCGAGCACGTGCTTCGCCAGGCATCAGTTAAGAATTCAGAGCCTACTTAAATAAGCTCAGATCCAATTCTCTATAAAAAAAAAAGTGTTTCTTTCCTGTTCCTAGCGCCATGGGCTGTGAGCGTTTATAGCGTTTTGCACGCATCGAGGGGCTCATTTATTTGAAAAAGACAAAATGTTTAAATAATTTGGTATTTACTATATGTACTAGTGCTGCCATCTATGCCAAGCTTTGCGAATTATTCACTATGAGGAAGTATTTAAAAAAAAATAGTTCCCGAAATCGAACTAGATGTAGCTGCAGTACTTTCTTGATTTCTCATGACAATCCTTCCGGTTTTCTTTCATGTATAAAAGTAAATTAATTTTCAAAACTCAATAAACAACTCAGATTCTATTTGAGCTTTTTCGTATTTGCATTGATATCTAAGTTTCGAACTTTGCTAATTTCAGTGTTTTAATAGGTTAGTTAAAAGAAACGGAAATTACTATCTTCGGTCCATTCGTTTCCTATAAAAATCAAGTTTTGCTGGAGTCGCCATCTAGTGAGATGTTTTTTTAGTGCTTTCTTTTTTTAAATACTTCCTCAATGCCGTGTCTTACATTACAGTGGTGGTAGAAGGAAATAATTAAAATAGTAAAAAAGGGGGGGAGTCGGTGCAATAACGATGGGAATATATTTTAGAAGGAAAATATTTTAGAAGGAAAATAATGTGTAACGAGTGATAACAATAAAATATTGATAATACAAGTTTTATGCAAGATTATGTTATGTAAGAAGGGAGAGAAAATGCTTCTTTTACCTTAGACCTTAAAAAGCTAGCGTTTCTAATAGCAGCCGGTAGTGAGTTCCAAAGCTAAACGGCATGTATAGAAAAGTAATATGATAGGAAACTATTGAATGAGATGAGATGCCTGGAGTAAGGTTAAAAGAAAAGCGAAATATACATTGAAACAGAGTGGAGAAGCTGCAAAAATAAAATGGATTTTTTGGTAAGGTGGAGAAGAAGACAGGAAAAGATTGGAATAAAAAAGAGAAAGAGTATGTTATAGTAAGAAAAAGAAGAATAAGTACGACGAGTAAGGAGCCAGTTATTTTTTTTTTTACAGATAGTCGTATTTGCGAAGGTTGAAAATGAATCGTATACTCATATTCTGCAGACGCTCTAGTTCTGGCAAAACTCATACATGTTTCATGTGTTGCCTTACAGAAATTGTGAAAGTGTAGTAAAGTGAAGAAATAACTGAATTTATGCGCGTGCTTACACGAAGCCTATAAAACTGACAATATGTCTATTTTTTAAATAATTACGCCGTAATAATAATCCCTAGTATAGTAATGGCAGCACATGTAGCAAACAATCTTTTTTAACATTTAAGTCGTTCGGAAAAAGTGATGAATTTCCTTTTTAAATCCACATATGCTGAAATGATGTATTATTGGATGAAAAAACACCCTTCAAAAGTATTTGTGCTAGCAGTGTTGCCAATTGCTACTCAAGGCCTGTTACTAGAAATTTTATATAATTTGCTAGATTGAGTAATTTGTTCGACTTGAAAAGTAGCTAGAAATAGCTAAATTTTTCGTATAATTAAATACCGTTTTATATGATTACTAGAAATCACACGGCGATATTTTATTAAAGACTTTAATATTTATTGCATTTCAAATGCAAATAACGAAATAAAACACCAATCACATTATTTATATTATTTCTAAAAGCAGTGTTATTTCTATAATAGTATGTACTTAATACTATATTTATATTATATAACTACTCAATTGCCTATTTAAAAAAGAAACAACACTCAATTAAATACTAGAGGAAGAAGTAGAAGATTGTGAACTCTGGGAAAATAATGATAAATCTTATGCAGCTGAATTAGCTCTAATTGATTTTGAATATTTTTCTACGTGGACAGGATTTGAACCAAAAGTTGCTAAAAAGTTTATCTACGAAATAAAAAAAAATTGTAGCTGCCTAACATCAGAAAATAGCTAAATCTAGCTATAAAGTAGTTAAGTTGGCAACATTGTGTGCTAGTCCTGAATATTTGTGAATACTCGTATCATTTACAATTATCGATATCGACACCGGCTTACCCTATTTGCTTTATGTTTTTTAATTTTATAATGACAGACAATGACAGTTGGTCCGTCGCAGTCGTTGAGATAAGGCGAGTTGTAGTTTTGTTAGTATTTCCTTTATTGGGCGTATAATGTTATAAAACCTTAACATTATTTTAAAATATTAAAGAAAACAGTTGTTAAATTTTTCCCATTAATTAAAATCACCTGTGAATCAGTGGTTCCATTCAAAGAACACACTTTCTAGGCAATGCAGTGGGTACTATCGTTAAAGTATTATTAAATTGTGTTATTTAATTCCAATAAAATGGGAAAATTGTTGAGTTTGCTGTCCCGGGACGAATCCAACTGTTGTTCATCGCCACGTTACGATATTTTCTTGGATTTTGAAAATGCAGCACCGACAGACACAGAGCGCGACGTTTACGAAGAAGTTCAGAGGGTACTGTTAGACTCTGAGAAGATACTAGAAGAAATACAGTGTTATAAAGGAGCTGGCAAAGAAATAAGGGAAGCGATAGCTGATCCATCGAGAATATCACAAGAAAGAGCTTCGCGCGCCGTCAAACCTTTAGTTGATAAACTTCTGAGATGCTACAATCACTCATTGGAGTTGCAGAGGGTAAGTCATTGAATACCTAAACATTTGTATACCTAGTAGTAAACAGGAAACATTATTTATTTTTATCAAATACTCAACTAAAGTTATTGTTGTCTGTGGTCATTATTAAATGTAAAATGAAAGACATTGAGTATGCTGGCACTTGAGTGATCATTGTATGCAAGAGCTTCTGACCAAATTATAAAAAAATAGTTATTTTATTATCTATGACTTATTGTATGATTCTTTGAAAATAAATCCTTTCAGAGCATTCAAAGATACAAAATATTCTAGAAATGTACAGCGATTGAGTAGATCCCATGTTAAAGAATATCAATTATGTTTTAAGAAAACTTGACCTTATAAGTTCCATTTTACTATTATTCAAACAATTATTTTCCATAATGATTTGCCTTCATAAGCTTTGATATAATTATAATGAGTCATCTGTATGTAATATTCATAGGTGATAGCTTCTGTGATAATTCAAAATGGTGACATAATATTGCTTAATACTGAAAGGCATCTAGTAACATTATTATAACATCCAGCATATAGAATATCTAAATTTTGACCATATGAAGACACTGCAGGTGGTGGTAAAGATATCAAAAGAAAAATCATCTATATGATCTAGCTTCATGTAGATGATTTTTCTTTAACAACTTTAAAATCATGATTATACTTCATAATCAGGATTTTGAAAATGTCAAAAGAAAAATCATTACAAGAGTTAGTGTACAAGAAACCCTATTAAATATCATAAAAGTTATACTACATACAGACAAAACATTATTTTTTAATTTGTTTTTTGTTTAAAATATATTTGATTGTGAGATTAGCTTGTTCGGACAGTTTGAGTAATGATAAAATGTTATTTTTCGTTTAAAATCAATGAAGATATAAAGATGAACTATAAATTCAAATGAGAATTGCTTGCAAAATTCATTTTTAATTTAACATATTCAACTGCAACTTATATCTTATATCTCATAAAAGTTAATAAACATTCTATATATAAAAATGGCTCAAACATTTGTTTATATCAGATATTTCAATGATATGATTAAAATTTCAAGTTATACTCTATCACAACCTTATCATTTCACTGGTAATACATCATATCACTGATAATATACTGCTGATAAACTATGTAAATATGCTTCAGTATGTTTACATATAAAATTATTCATGAACAGTTTAAATCCTTGTAAAAACACACTGTTAATATCCAGTTATATTGTGTCTGTAAAAAATACTGTAAAGGAATATAATCCTAAACAAGATATTTTATGTGATCATTGTGATATCTTGATAATATTTCTAAATTAATAGTAGGCATTACTTATACAGACAATGGTGTCATTTACACTCTAACAGAATTGGAACCAATCTCTTAACTAAAAACAAAATAAATTTAACTCAAGTATACTTTAACATTATTCTGTTGTCACATATCTCTCAGAAATATATCTAAATTAAAAAGATAAATAATAATAATATAATATACATTGCTTTTTTCCAAATAAAATAGTGAAAGAGCTTGTTTTACGGAAATCTGAAATAAAGAAAGTAATATATTCTCCACTGACCCGAGAATCTAACACTCACTTATTAGAAACAGATAAATCTTAAAATACAATACAATTTGACAATACTGCAGGCAACCCACAAAAATATATACTATCAAATATCCTGTCTTTTTGATCCCCCTTAATTTGAACAAATGGTAACTCTACATAAATTACATGTTAGTTTCGGCTCTTAAAACGAGATTGTATGAAATGACTACTTTTTAAACCAATTTATTTGTAAGGCTATGCTAATATTTGCCAAATAAAAGTCATTTTATGAAATATTTGTTCAATTGCTTACTAAATACAGAAACAAATTTCAATCATTGGCTCAATAGGAAGAAATCGCAAAAATTACTGCATGGGTTTTCCGACTAATAATATTTTATCTCTACTATTTAACAAAATAGGTTTTGATATAATCTATAATATACAAAAGATATTATTTTATAACAACTTTTATTTTTTCTGTCATTAAAAGTGTTTGAACTCTCCATGCTTATTTGTTTGCGTATTTGTATTGGAACGTAAACGGAGGTGCAAGAGGGCCTTAAACGAGCCATCTACTTCTAGAATAGATTCGTAATCGTTAGTTGCGCTTGTATGCTCTATATTACTCTACACATTGGTCGGGCCCGGCTTCCGGTGCGAAACCGAACAATAACATTGCCACTAGTTGTCAGCCTACAGTGGCAGACCACCGACGACGAGACGTATACCGTTTAGGAGGCGTTTAACGACTGTCTGTCTACGAAACTAATGTCAATACATAAATATCCCACTGTTTATTAAGCCACATTATTGTTTGTTTAGTTTTAACCGCTATATCACTACATATTATAAAACAAAATCCTCCACTCCAATCCACTGTTCGCGATAAACTCTAAAGCTAATACACGGATCGTGTGGTATTCGCCAAAGATAGAATGATTTATGAAGAAGGTTTAAGTATATGATTTGTGAAGATTTTGTGTAAATTGGTTGGAATGTCAGGATAATTGTCGGAAGTGTTGGAAAAAGTTAGGCCGCGTGCAAAGGCTTAAAAGTCTATCCGCCTGAGAGCTTTCATCATCAACAAAACAATATATATAGGATATTCCTCTTTTGCAAAGATATAAAAAGTCCTCGGCGATATATATCTTTAAAGGGTAATTATTAATATATTCTAATTTATAATATACTATAATTAATCCTTATCAACTTAAATTTAAGAATTTCATGCACTTTACTATAATATTTTACGCCATATAATTTAAATGAATATCTTAGAAGATACCGAAAAAATTAGCACAAGTGAAAATGAATTCTTTATTTGTCATATCGGTCTTCTTACTCTTTATCCGTCCGTCCTAATTTATAATAGTTATTTAAGATACGAGTGCGGAAAGTAAGGTTTTACGAATAAGGGCCAAATTCTTTGGCACGAATTCGAAAAACCTTTTACGCTCAAGTTTCTTACAACATTTTTCAATACTTTTTGCGAGGAAATAAAACAAATATATAGGTTTAATAAAACTAAGTATGTATTAGGTAAAAATTATTTGGTAAAATTAAACGTGATATTTGAACGTGTTTTTGTGTCATAAATTTTTATTTGAAAATTTTCGTTCTAGGCTCCTTGAAATACTTTTGCCTCTAAAGTTTGACATATTTTCTTCAATTTTTTTTAAATTTCTTTAGTGTTCGGCCAAAAAATATAAAAAAATACTTTTAAACACGTGTGCAGTAAAGGATTTCAGTACATTTTTATTTAACACGTGTTTAAAGACTCACTTTCGGTGTTTACAATAGATTAAAAAAATAGCGCTTTATGAGCAACTGCATTGAAAAGATAATAGCTGAAAACTGCTTAGATAAAACTTAATGAAATGAATTTTTTACTTTTTATTGTCAACTTATTTCTGTTTTATAAACTTTATTATTTGTCATAAAATTTATTTCTCATAACCGGTGAAGGACCTAATACAAATTATTCCAAAGCTTTGTAGGAAAACTTTAATCGCGAGTCATCATTTCTTATAAATAAGTAACAAAAAATCTTATTATAGTAATTAATTGAGCTAACTTTATTTAGGTAATCTTGAGACACGACCTTCAAATGTTTAATTACAAACTCCTATTATGGAGTAATCATTATTTCAAATAGCTTTCGATGACTAGCGTTTATTTCACTATCAATGTGCATACAGTCATTTCTAAAAATAAATGGATAGGTATCTATAAAATTTGATCGATTCGTAAGTATTCTCTTTTCTTTTGCATGCTATGTGAGTAAAAAAATAATAACACTTATTATTTTATTAAAGCTAGTAACAATTATTCACTCTAAAAATTATTTTATTTATTCCGCGTTACATAAGCGTCACCTACTTTTTTTGCGACAAAAAAATATTGGGGTATAACTTTTTGTCCGATTTCTTGATGAATTAGATCCATAACCCTTCTTTTTCTTTTTAAGAACGAGCATCCCACGTTTATCGCAGTCCATGTGACAATCATCCAATCAAAACTCATAAACGTCCACTCTCATAGAGGCGTCATGAGAATTTGAATATGCATCCTCTATTGTAACCAATATTCGAGTCAATTGGTTTATGTGGTTTTTCATCTATGTCCCACATCAACTGTTCGGACAAGAAGCTTACTGGGCCTCTATTTTGCAAATTTTTTTTTAAGTAATAATTGCATCTCAATAGAATAATTGCATCTCAAGTAGCTCATCTTGCCATTTTTACTATCTACCTGAAGTCCGATGTTGATGATGTAGTGCTATGTCTTCCTCAAAAATTAAAGGTGAGAGATATATAATATAATGTCCGAATAATATTCTGAAGTCTAATAAGACTTCAGGTAGATATTACAATGGCATAATGCAAGTAGTTTAGATTCTATTGAGATGCGATTATTACGTAAACATTAGTAGATTTTGCCGGCCATCTGTTATATTACCTGTTTTCCCATTTCTCTTGAAATAATTTTGTTCCAGTAGTTTCGGAGTCTATTCAATCTTTACTCTTAGAGAAACAATCAAGTCTTTACTCTTAACATTAATATAGATACCACAAAGACCCAGTTTTGAAAGTTTAAAAAGTGTTAATATACCTACTTATCTGTTATTTGAATGTAGGTATACAAAAAAGTATTGGTTGTTTATAAATCAATTACATTTCTTTGGCATCCACCTACTTGCACAAACGTTAATGAAAATTGACGTTTGTTTGCGTCATTACCGATACAGATTTTCGGCCGCAATCGCGACCGGCGTGGTCGTCTTTCATTTTATTTTCTTTTGTACATGTAGAAATTAATTTATTCACTTGACATTGACAGAATTGTACGAAATGCGCAGATAAGTCATGATTAAAAGAAGAAGATACAAGTTTTCAAATTTAGAACATTCATTAGAGCTTAAAGTCTTCATTAAACTTTAATAACGTTTGTATAACT